ATGACATCCAAATTTAAAGGATTTAATATGTTAACATAGATATACCTGCATCCTTCAAAACCAAAAATCAAGCTTACTGCTGCCAAGTAGATTAGCACTCATAATGACCTTACAGGACAGAGTAATGATTGATGCCCTATTGGACTTCTGAGCTGTTTATATTAAATGAAGCAGATTGCCTCATCCTTCTAGAGTAGCTGTTTTAGCCACAGTCCAAGATTTCATTCACTATGCCACCACAACTCCAATAGAACCCACAAGTCTAAATACTAAGTGAAACAATTTATAAACTTAGGTTGCTTGAACATATTTTATACACATAAATATAAAGCACATCAAAAGAACAATGATGTGTATATATATATAGATTTATTGCTTTTTCTGTTATAATCTATTCATTCTCATATTTTAGATAAGACTATCAATGATACTTAAATTTTGTTTCTCTGTATTTCCCTCAGAGCTATGAATTCTTTAAGAATGGAACGTTGTTTTAATAGCCATATTTCCAATTACAATTTGAGTAAAGAGCACATACTCAGTATCATTTGCTGAAACAAGAAATGGTTAAGCAAACTGAACCAAGAACATAAGTACACAAGTATGATGCCAGTCTATGCCAGATCCTAATCTACCCAGGTACCTAAATTTAACATTCTAGTTCATCATTTTGCCACTATTGGGATAGTCTTCTAAGTTACTGCTTCAAGGTGGTGGCTGAATTTGAGTCTTTCAGAATCAATATAAATACGCCAAGAACCAAGTAACGTATGAAAGGTAAAGACAGTAACCACTAAAATTAAAAACAAAGAGAAGTAGGCTCAGCTGACAAGTTTCGAACAGTAAAGGGGAAAATGTTTAAATGGAGTGGGATTAAAACTGAATATAAAACTGGAGAAGAAATATTAAGATTCATTAGGCAGTAATAGTTTAAAAAAACTACCATTGAGAAGGATAATAAATTCCAATGTTTCGTTTTATTCCAAAAAACTAACCTTTCAAAACAAGTAACTGTTCAAACTTTAGACTGACTTGTCATTGAATGGTTTAATAAAGCTACAAAAATAATTATCATTTCTTCCACACAAATGACTAGCTATGACTTGGCACAAATAGATCAACAACAGGGATCAAAACATGTTCATAAGCTTAGCACTACTCATCACATATCAAAGAACCTACTGCCTAAAGGTAAATATGAGCTTTGTTACAGTGAAAATGATTCACAAATAGTGAAATATATCTAGTGATCCTGAGATATCCAAGTACTTAAATTTCCTCATCTGTGGAACAAAAAGCTTGAATTACATGGCCTAATAAGCTCCCTTCAGCTACATTTGCTCTTCCTAGTTAGAAACTGTATTTTCAGAGAAGTGAACTGTATATATTTATTTTCAATCAACAAATGCATGTTCCTCTTCTTAGGTGCCGTTGAATATAGTACAACTCACAGCTACCTTATAAAAACTAGATCTGAACTTTGTCTTTTCCTGTACTATCCTCAAAATTTCAAACACGCTCAAATCCTTAGCTGTAGTCACTGGGTCAATCCATCTGGTTGAGGGTCTTGTTCTCTATCACTGATCTTCCATTGTTTTAAGCATATTGTCCCTCTCCCAAGAAATAGCTTCTCCTAGCAACATGCCCAAAGTATGTGAGATGAAGCTTTGTTATTTTTGCCTTCAAAGAGCATTCTGGGAGCACCTTCCTCAAGACATGTCTGTTTGTTGTTCTGATAGTCCATGGAATATTCAGTACTGTTCTTTAGCCCCACAAGTCAAAGGAATCACTTCCTCTGTCACCTTATTCACTGTCTAGCTCTCATATGCACAGGAAGTGCTTGAAAAGACCATGGCCTGAATCAGGCACACCTTTGTCCTTAAAATGATGTCACTGTTCCCACCCCCCAAAAAATTCAGAGACATCCCTGATTGCAGATGTTCCCAGCACAATACGTCTTCTGGTCCCCTAACTGCTGGTACCACAGGTATTGATTGTGTATTCAAGTAAAAGGAAGTCTTTGACAATTTCAATCGTTTCCCTAATGGTGCAGTGGTAAGAATTTTTGTTTTCTTAATCTTGAGATGCAATTCATATTGAAGGCTATATTCTTTTAACTTCTGCAGAAAGGGCTTCCAGTCTTCATCACTTTCAGCAATCAAGCTTGTGACCTCTGTATAATAGGTTATTGATGAGTCTCCTTCTGATCCTGATGCCACATTTTTGTTCATATAACCCAGCTTCTCAACTAGCTTGCTCAGCATACAGACTGAATATGGAGAAATGATACAACACTGACACACTCCTTTTCTTAATTTAAAAATATGTAGTGTTTCCTTGCTCTGGACAAGAGCCTCTCGGTCTAGGTGTAGGTTTCACATGAGAACAATTAGGTGCTCTGTATTTCTCATTCTTCTCAATGTTAGCCATTAATTGCTATGACCTATACAATCAAATCCCTCTGCACAGTCAATACAGAACATACCAACCATCTTCTGGTATTCTCTGCTTTCAGTTAGGATCCATATGACATTAACAATGATATCCCTGGTGTTACAGGCTCTTCTAAAACCAGCTTGAACATCTGGCAGGTCTCTGTTTATTATTCTAGCTGGTTTTGAACACTCTTCAACAGTACTTTGCTTGCGTATGATATTGTTTGATAATGTCCACATCCACATGCTGGATCACCTTTCTTGGGAACGGAAACAAATACGGATCTCTTCTGGTCAGTCAGAGGCAGCTGTCCTAATTTCCTGGGAAAGACCAGTGACCACATTCAGGGCTGCATCTGTTAACTGAAATATGTCAAATAGTATCAGATCAATACATGGAGCCTTAGTTTTGGACATTGCCTTCACTGCAGCTTGAACTTTCTCCTCATACAGCATTTGCTGAATTATTTCTGTGTTAGACAATTCTTTTTGATACAATGATTCTGTGTATCCCCTCCATCTTCTTTTGATGATTCCTGGGTCATTCAAAATTTTGCCTTTAGTGTCCCTCTGTACTGCATCTAGTGGTTGACTGTGGATCAGATCATTAATACTCACGTCCAAGTTCAAATTGTAGCCAAAAAAATTAACATGAGAACCAAAATATGATCCTTAATCTATTTTACCTAAATTTTAAAATCATCTTAATAGGTCTGAAGCATTGAGCAGCAATGAATGATCAAAGATCATATGAGTTGTGGAAAGATATCATCCATGAAGAGAGCCAAAGGTTATTACAAGGCAGAAAAGAAAGACCCAAACAGATGTCAGAAGAAGACTTTGAAATTGCAAGAGCATCAAGAAACAAAAAAAAAAAAAGAGATACTGAAGTGAAGAGATGAACAGATTTCAAAGTGTAGCTTGAGAAGACAGAACGTGCAAAAAACCTTTAGTTGAAAAACTGAAAAGGGAAGAACTTGTGCAGCATTTCTCAAGCTGAAAGAACTGAAAAACAAATGTAAGCTTTGGGTCACAATACTGAAAGATGCTATTAGCAATAATGATCAATGACCCAGATAGCATCAAAAGAAGATGGTAGGAATACACAGAGCTACTGTACCAAAAAGACTTGTATACCATTCAAAAATTTCAGGAAGTACCATCCAAGTATGAGCCCACAGTAATGAAGAAAGAAGTTAAAGCTGCACTGAAGGCAATGGCAAAATAATAAGGCCCCAAGAATCAATGGGATACCAACTGGCTTATTTCAATTAACAGATGAAGCCCTGGGTGCACTCATCCATCTATGTCAGGAAGTTTGAAGGACAACTGTCTGGCCAACAAATTGGAACAGTCATATCTGGTCCCATTCCCAAGAAAGGAGATCCAACAGAACGTGGAAACTCTCAAACAATATCATTAATTTCACATGCAAGAAAATATTGCTATGATTTTGTGGCTAGAACAGTACATAGAGAAATGCCAGAAGTTCAAGGAGGATTTAGAAGAGGTCATAGCATAAGAGGTATCACTGCTGATGTCAGATGTATCTTAGATGAAATTAAAGAATACCAGAAGAATGTCTATTTATGCTTTATTGACTATGCAAAGGCATTTGACTATGTAGATCCTAACAGATAAGACTAACATGGAGAAGAATGGGAATTCCAAAGCACATAATTTTGCTCATACGAAAACTAGATCTAGACCAGGAGGCTGCTGTGCAAACAGCAAGAGAACACTGCATGGCTTAAAATTAAGAAGTGAGTGTGTCAGGGTTGTATTCTCTAAACCTATTCAATCCGTATGCTGAGCAAATTACTTGAGAAGCTAGACTGTGGCATCAAGATCAGAGGAAGATTGATCAATAACTAGTGTTATGCAGATGACACAACTTTGCTCACTAAAGTGAGAAACTCTTGAAGCATTAGTTGCCCTCGATATGGATTAAATCACAACATCAAGAAAGCAAAAATTCTTACCACTGCACAAATAGGCATTACCATGACAAATGGAGAAAAGGCTGAAACTGTCAACAACTTCATCC